TGACCTTCGTGTGATTGGGCATGCTACCCAATCTGAATCACAATAAGCCTCAATGTTGAAATTGGAGGATTTATTAAAAAATAAACCTTGATTAACGGTGCCTTTGATGTATTTCAATACGTGTAAAGCAGCATCATAATGTTGTTGACAATGAGTTTTGTTAAACTGGCTCAAATGTTGTACAGTGAAGGTTATGTCTAGTCGAGTGTGAACTAAGAAATTTAATTTGCCAATTAGTTGTTTGTACATTGTAGGATCATTGAGAGGATTGTCCATAAGCGGTAAGAGCTTAAGATTGTGAGGCAATGGAGTGGAAACCGTAACATCATCTTCCACAGAATAGAGTGCAAATAACTCTTGAGCAAACTTGTGTTGATGAACAACTAATCCTTCGGCCACCTTGTCAAATTGAAGACCAAGAAAATAATTGACTTCCCCCAAGTCTTTAATATGAAATTGACTATCAAGAGTCATTTTTAATGAAGAAATTTCATCTTGATCATCACATGTTAGTTGTTAGTAGAATATCATCCATGTATACTGCTAATATAACAATTGAAGTAGCAGTCTTCTTAATGAATAGAGAATAATCATGTAGAGAAGGAGTATATCATTTTTGATGCAAAAAATGGGACAATTTTGCATGTCATTGCCGTAAATCTTGCTTTAAACCATATAACGACTTCTTAAGTTTGCAAACAAGATGATTGGAAGTAGTAGAATAGCCTCGTGGTAATTTCATATAAACATCTTCATGAAGATCACCATGGAGGAATGCATTATTGATGTCGAGTTGTTGAATCTTCCAATCTTTTTTAACAACCAAAGAGACTAGACATCAAATGGTATTGAATTTGACTACCGAATAGAAGGTTTCATGGTAGTCAATACCTTCTTTTTTAGTGAAACCTTTGGCTACCAACTGTGCTTTGTATCGATTAATAGACCCATCAATTTTATTCTTAAGTTTGTATACCCATCGACATGATATTGGCTTTTTGCCCTTTGGTAAGGAAACAATATCCCAAGTATGATTGGTTTGTAAAGCTTCAAGTTCTTGTTGAATAGCAAGTTCCCAATGAGGATTCCCTTTAGCTTGATCATAAAAAGAGGCTCAATTTCATGTTTAGAAACATTGAAAGCAAAAGTAGAAGTGGGATAGAGAACAGGAACTTGAGAATCAAGATTACACATGTTTGTAACAGTATGACAACATATGTGTGAAGAATCAACAATATTGTTGCATATGTAATCTCGTAAATGTGTAAGTGGGTTATGTGTTCTAGAAGATGTTCTTCTAGAAATGTTAGGAGGTTGAGTCTGAGAATCAGAAACAGTCTCAGTAGGAACAGAAATTGAAGATGGTGAAGGTGCAATAAGTGTATCACTGGAGTTTGTAGGAAGAAAAGAATGTGGGTTTTGTGACATAGTGTTGGATATAGCATGTAAGGGAAAAATATTTTCAAAGAACTTAATATCCCTTGCGATATAAATGAATTTAGTGGTAAGATTAAGAACCTTAAATGCCTTCTTTCTAATGGGATAACCAATCAATACACAAGGATGAGCTCTTGACATGAACTTATCACGACCCACTATAGAAGTAGTGATGAAACACAAACACCCATATGCATTTAACTGTGCCAAATCTGGTTGCTTTTGATAAAGAAGTTCAAAAGGACTTTTGAACTTAAGAGAAGCTGAAGGCATCCAATTAATGAGATGAATAGCTGTCCAGATGCATTCAGACCAATAAGAAAACCCAAGACCAGCTTATTATAGTAAAGCTCATGCAACTTCAAGTATATGTCGATGTTTTCGTTCGACAATTCCATTTTGTTGAGGGGTAAAAGGAGTAGATTTTTGATGTAAAATTCCCATTTTGCTATAGAACTCTATGCCTTCATTACTACATCCAAGTTCATAAGCATTATCTGTGCGAACAACTTTAATGGTTTTGTTGAACTGAGTTTGAACAAAAACAACAAATTGTTTGATAACTCCCATTGCATACCCTTTGTGTGTAATCATATGTACCCATGTGTGTTTACTATAGTCATCAACTATAGTAACAAAGAATTTGAACCCATCATGAGATATATACTTGTACGGACCCCAAACATCCACATGAATGAGATCAAAAATAGCTTGAGATTGAGATAAGCTAGTTGGAAATGGCAATTTATGATGTTTAGCTTTAAAACGGATCATACATGAATCAACATCATCATCATGAGATTTATAACCAGGAATAGAAAGATGATTCAACTTGCTAATAGAAATGTGTCTCAATCGTTTGTGCCATAACAAAGTATTAGAAGGTTTTGTAACAACAGTTGCAGAATTACAAAAGAGATTCTATACAGAAAAACTGAAAGACAATGAATTACAAATGGTTCGATGATAAAAAATGTAAAGATCATTGACCTTATTGCCAAAGAGACTAAGAGAGAGTTTATTCCTTGACAAAGGGTTCTGCAATAGACAATTTTGATCAGTGAATATGACAAAAGATTTGAGTTGAGAGTTCAATTTGAAAATAGAAACAAGATTGTATTTGAAATTGGGAACATACAAGACTCCTTGAAGAATTAAGGAATCATGTAATTTGACATTACCAGTAAAAGAGACACATGCATTAGTACCATTCGATACACCAATGAAATGAGGATGAGGTAATTTGAATAGAGAAAGAAACAATGTCTTATTGGAACACATATGATCTGTTGCCCCGGTATCAACAATCCAAGAATAGAATGGTTGTAAAAGAGATGATGATTTGTACACATTAGCAGCAAACTTTTTGAAAGAGAAAGTACCTTCAGATTCCATGGATAGATCCATAAGAGAAGTTTGAGCAGAAAAACTAGATGATGGTGAGTTTATATTGTTGTTTTGAAGAAGCATCATTAACTATTGAAATTGTTCTTGTGAAATACCAGAATTGGAATCAACAACAACATTCTGAACAGTAGATTTTGGTTCTTCACGCTTAGATTTGGTGAATTTGAAATTTGCAGGGAATCCATGTAGACGATAACATTGTGATTTGGTGTGACCAGGCTTTTCACAATGATTGCAAACCAACAATTTCTTGGACATAGAACTATTATCAACAGAAGCATTCATGGCAATTATGTCAGTATTAAGTGGAGTAGATACCACGTGGACGTTCTTCTTGAAGAATCAAGGAATATGCAGTGGATACAGATGGAAGAGGTTTAGTCATGAGAATCTGACCATGCACTACTTTGTGAGAATCATCAAGGCCCATAAGAAGTTGTATGAGGCGTTGTTCCTTGAAAAACTTGTGGATCTTAGATGCAGCTTCACAAGAACATGGAGGAATTGCTTGAACGAGACGCGATTCATCCCAAATTCGTGTTAATTTGGTGAAGTGGTGAAATCGTCTAAACCTTGAGAAGTTAAATATAGTTGTTGCTGAATTTGGTAAATCAATGCTCTATCTGGTTGTTCGAACCTTTGATTCAATTGAATCCAAATTTCTCGAGCAGTAGTCAAGAATAACACACTATCGGCAATATTTTTGGATAGGGAATTCAAAATCCAATTTATCACCATAGAATTGGCTCGAAACCAGGCAGAATACGAAGATGAGGTTATTGTTGGTTCAGATGATCCATCAACAAAACCTAACTTGTTCTTGGCAGCTAACGATATGAGCATTGATCGTTTCCAAGATGCAAAACCAACTCCATTAAAAGGATTTGTAATGAGAATAGAACTCGGATTATCAGATGGAGCAATGAAAAAAGGATTGGATGGATCAATGGCAGTAGATCCAGTAGAATCAATTGGATTAGCCATGAAAAATACAGGATCGAAAACTAATCTGATACCATGTTGATTTTGAGAGAATGAAAAAGTTTTGTTTGAAATTGATTCAGAAACTTGTATTCAATAATGATGATGAATACATACATATATACAGAAAGAGAAGAACAAACGAACTAACTAACTCATAATATAAGAAGGACGAAAATGGCCTTCTATCTAACTGCCAGCTAAAAATGTCTATAACAACTTTCTAACAGTAAAAACTAACAAGGTTGCTTTGTTTACAGATTGTCCATAATGCTGCACACTGCAGTTTCATTTATACTGTAATTTTTGGTAGACTGTTTTGTCTGACGTAACAACCTCAATTTATATACAAAAGTGCTAGAAAATTAAGGAAATCAAATCAAGAAACTCAAAATCATATGGACAACGTACCTAACACTGAAACAAATATGTTAATCGTGCTCAACTTGTTATGGCTTGGTGTCATTGAGTGGATTGACAGAGGGTTTGTAATCAACTTCAATGTGTTTGGTCCTCTCATGGGATATAATGCTTGTCTGGTTGTCTTTTGCTTTTCCAAGAGACTAGATGGACATACGTCAATGAAAATTCAAAAGGGTTCTTGTAATATTATATATGAACTGAAGCCGATGTTTATTTTCTAAGAACCGTTACTAAAACCAACTATAAGAGCTAGGGCTCCATTTATCTCTCTCTAGAGCCTACATAACAAGGTTTTTCAAAGGGAGTTTGTTTGGTACGGATGGAACAACAAAAAAAACCATGTTATTGACCAAGTCAAATGAGACTAATTATTAAAATTAATTAATTCTCATTAATTATTTTCTTTATTCGTTGATCCGTTCCTCTCTATTTCTCCTTAGCCTGCACTTAAATCTTAGAGTTATCGCCTCTTCCTATCTTTTTTTAAATGGCTGATGAATACTTCTATCTTAAAACAATTGCCAAAGACAATTATAACACAGAACATATCAAACATCACTAATTAGTAATTACTCCATCTATAATCTCCCATAACATCAATAATCTCCCAAAATAAATCGGTGTACTCTAACATAGAACATAAGAGTTTTTAATACTTATTTTTTGTTCATTTAATTTTAACTTTTTGCTTTATTTGGTTTAAGTTATATATACATGCATTCATTTGATATTGTTGTATTTTGATTTATAAGGTGATTCGAACAAAAGATATGGAATTTATGGATGAGTTTTCTTTTAAAAGGACAGCATGGGAAGAAATGTATGGCGAATAATGCCAACGGAAGAAGAGTAAGAAAAAAAAAGCTTTATTTTTTATATTTGTCAAGATTTTTTATATATATGGGTTCAATTTTATATTATTATATATATTTTTTCAATAAATATTGTATAAAGTGAATGTCATGTTTTATAATTGTTCCATCAAGCTATTTTAGATATCTTTTAAGAAATTTGACTACTTAACTTTCAGTTTTGTTATATTTTCGTCAAATTTTTTGTCCTTTCGTTATGTTTTTGTAAAAATATGTAATTTTTGACTTTAGTGGGGACATAGCGGTGAATTATTTCTAATGCGGATCCATGTGACAAACTTAACTAAATACCTTTATTAAATAGTAGTTCAGGTTTTGTTTTGTTCTAACGCTATAACGCTATACAAATGTTGAAACATTACACAAATAATGAGAAATTAAATATCTTATTTTTATTTTTATTTATCCTCTTATTTATGTGAAATAATGCAAGTGTCATAATTTAGTATTAATTTTATCAAAAATTGACACTTGTCACAATTTGATATGGGTAGGAGGATAAACAGTAAAAAAATGTAGTATGCTTTACAAATTGTTTCATGAAAAAAAAATATATATAGTTAAATATAGCGGGTTTTTTCTTAATTGTTATACAAAAAAATAGTCAAAAATTAACATAATTCTACAAATAACCATATATTTGAGATATGTGCAAAATCAGTCGCCATATTTGATGATTTTTTACACCATATTTTTTTGTAATATATCTTACCTAATTTTTTTTTTCACAATATGAACTCTGTTAAACATACAAATAGTGCATTACGCAATGGGTAATTGCGACAATGGTGACTGTTTTGAGTAAAGTGTAAAATTTTGTCAATTTTGACAAACAATCAAGGATATTTGTTATATTTGTCTTTTCTTTTTTCTTGTTTTGTTGTTAAATTTTAATTTAAATAATGTTAGTATTCGTATGATAGGTTACATCACTCTAACCTAAGGTGTTTATTATAGATAGAAACCAATTTATCTATTTACCCATGTAAGTTCAACCTCAAAAAAACAATTATGGATAGCAACGTTGTCTTTTTTATAATAGTGAGGCGCGCACTAATTTACCATTTTACTCATGTTGTTCTTGATCTTTTTACATCATTAAATGTATAATCAAAATTTATCAAACACTAAAAACTAATTTACTAACAAATTGTATTTTAAGTATAAATTAATCCAAACACTTTTCTTAAACTAGTACTACATAAGATAACTAGGTTATAACCCGTGTACTACACAGTTTAGCAAATAAAAATAATATATATAGTAAATAGTAAGTGACATTACTATTATATTTTTAAGAAACATAAAATAAAAGTAGTGACATTACTATTATATTTTTAAGAAACATAAAATAAAAGTAATTTATAGATGTGTTATATATTGAAAAAGAAAAAGAAAACGAGAGTAAGATGTTATAGTAAACAATTAAACATAAGTACCTTGCTATTTTTTGTTTTGTCATAGTATTTATTTATATTTTTTTTACGACTATAACATCGTACTTTTCAAAATTAAAAGAAGGATATTATAACAAAACAACAGTGCCATATATTCATTTGATTCTTAAACAGGGTAAATGCATGAAATATTGTTTATTGCAGTATTAAATCATGCAATTATTTTTTTTCCTTATCAACTATTAACATATTAGACACAAAAAATTCTACCAATTACAACATAGCACATACAAAATTGTTTACACATTATTTAAAAGTACAATGCTATACTTGAATGTTTGAAGACAAAATGCCTAAATAAGAAAAACCCCAAAAGTACAATGTTAAAATATGAAAAACAAAAACAAAATTAGGATGCTGTAACATATAAATAAATATAAGGATGTTGGTATCTCTTGCAATTTGTTTATTACAACATTCTATTTTTTATTTCATCATATTAAAACATTGTACTTTAAAATTTTACCAAGTATAGCAACACCATCAAAATATAGTAATTTTCATTGCTATAATTGGGTAGTTTTATCAAAATACAAAGACTCCCGGTAATTAAAAAAAACACTAAATTACAATACTATAATTTACCCTGCAAAAGATTCATAGAGTTACCACTTCACACCAAAAAGACTAACCTTGAAAATATTGATCATGCTTACTCTAGAATTTGTAGCAATGGGTTTCCCAAGACAATCCATTGTTGTTTAAAGTTCGATAATTATTTTACTGATGAGAGATTGAATACTCATTAGACTTAATCACAGACTCCAAATGGAAAAAATAGTATATTTGTTTATTAATTTTTGAATAAATAACCTCATCCACACCTCCGGGATCTCTTTTAAATAAAAAACTATCATAAGTTTAATAAACAAATAAACAAAAGTACAATGCAAATTCTACGATTAAAGAAGATATATGTTTGTTACCGCAGCTTCCATATAGGACTTGGGACCTTGTCTAGGATACCAATGACAGTTGCAGGGACTGAAGTGCAAATTACAAAGTAAAATATATTGCTTTGATCTGGTATACCCTCCCTACCGGCGGTAACAACCTCATCTCCTATCACCTCCGGCAACTCACTGCCTTTCTTTAGAGCACAAGCGCTCGGAGGATCAGCCTCGGTTGTGATTCCAATGAGTCTATCACCTTCAGATTCGTTTCCAGGCCATGGATCATTGATGCAATCTCCTTCTGATTCATCATCGGAATTGTGGAAAATATGTGAGCGGACAGTGGTGGCCGCCTTCAGGAAGGCTTTTTGTATGGAATCTGGAGGAAGTGCACATGTATGAATCTATAGCTACCGATATTAGCTTCTCCAGTGGCTTCCATTTGCAAATTCTTGGAAGTTGAATCCCCAACACATGTATGAATCCATAGTGAGCAACAATCATGGAGGTATAATTTCAACATAGCTTTAAAATCATCAAATAAAAAACCTAAAATCGGAAATCACTGCAGAGATTGAACAAAACCCTATTGGCTCCTAAAATCAAAGGCGTAATAAATGAAAATCAAGCCTGAAGTCATAAAATCATAGCAAATAAAGGTGTTTTGTTCCTTCGTTAACAAAACCTGAAATCGACATCAAACAAAACTCAAAATCGATATCAGACCTCGAGAAAAGAAAATCTTACTTGAATATTTGAAGAAGTTGAGGAATCGTCGATTTTCGTGGAAGAATGTTCAACAATCTATCGATGAATCAAAGGATTAAGACGATGTGCTCGAAGAATCGAACAGTGTCTACAACCTTGGAGAAGAAGAGCAAATGTGTAAGAAGGTTCTTGTAATTGTCCGTTCTCCTTCCACTTGCCTCTTCCTTGTTGCAAATCATCAGATATAAATCGTCTACCCTTTTTTTGTTTTTTGTTCAAAAGTTTCAACTTTTGTTGGAGAGAATGGGGCTTGAAGATTAGGAAGCAATAATTTAAGGTTTCAGAGGAGAGAGAAGGATTTGGGAGTTGATTTCGTGAGATTACATTCATCGTTGTCGTTCTTTGTAATCAGGACGAAAATATTGGTAATTTAGGAGGTGATTCTCGCATAAAGTTCGAAACTCTTATTTGTGTGTAGAACTTTCTTTTCAAATTGGCCTAAGATTTAGGGATTTGGTTTTCAAATTACTTGCTTGAATTCCGTAATTCTTTAAAAATTGATTTTAAATTTTTCACATAAAAGGGATGCGGGAAAAAAAACATTGAAGAGCTCTTTAATCATGACACGTGGCAGAAAGTTGTTTTTAAAGATTGACATAGGAGAGGTTTTTATTAAGAATGAAGATAACCGCTTTAAAAAAACATAAATTGTTTTAAATAGGAAATTTCAAACGTCAACTTAATTTTAAATTCACTTCACAATGGTATTATATGTTTTCTTCTTAGCCAATGTCTTAGTTTTGAAGATTCTTAACACCCAAAGCATGTTCACAAACTGGAAAAGGCTTGTATCAATGTATGGCATCAAATAACAATGATCACAATATAGTGTAAATTCTGTATATCGACAAAAATATATAAATATATTTCTTCATAAACCCACTAAATGCAACCTATACACACAAACACACACGTAGGATGAAAAAACTCAAAACAAGAAAAGACACAACATGAAACAACAAAAGAAAAAGATAGTTAATCGGTTCAAAGATTTCTCCACCTGCATTACTTGCCTTCTCACCCGTGGACTTGTGGTACCTGAAGCCGGATACGGATTCTGGTACGACCCGTATGGATAAGCCGCCAAAAACCCGGAATCAGAACTACGGAATATCATCGCACAAACCATCTCCCCAACCATTCCCACAAATGGGTTTGAAAAGCCAGTAGTGGGCGTCATTGGCCCATTAAAATTAGATGGCCCAAAAGTATACCCTCCAAACGGATGTGGGTGATTCACAATATGCTGCTGAGGCTGAAACTGTGACTGTGACTGAAAAGGCACCGGATGGGGATTGATCTGTTGATTCAGATGCAAAATTGCCCCGCCAGGTGCTGATGGTCTACTAGGTATGACTAACTCCGATTGTTGTTCGCTTTTCGATTCCGATTCCGATGATGGTGAATCGGAATCGGAATTGGAATTGGAATTGGGATTGGGATTGGAATTGCCACGTCCGTAGAGTGGAACTAAAGATGAGTTGGAGATGTGAGCTTTACAAACAGGGCATTTGGGTTGTTTATCGGATTCAAGAGTGGAGGTTGCTTGGACATGGAGCCATTTGTAAATACAAGGCCAACAGTAGAGGTGGCCACATAGGGTAACCACAGGGTCTCTTGCAGAATCTAAACATATATTGCATTCGCAAAATCCTGTTGAGTTTTCAGAAACTGGTTTTGAGTTCTTGTTTAGTGACACGTTTCCTGGAGAATCAAATGGTGTTTCTTCTAAGGCCATTAACGCTGTACAACATTGAAGGAATCGTTAGAGACTATGATGCTGAATTACTGATACATATATAAACAAAGAAGACGCCTTGAATTGTTCGTCATGTTGGATGTAAACAAAGTTCCCGACATAAGAAACAACGGATCTCTACTCAAAAGTCAAAACTATTCAATCAATCACTTTATGGGGTTGTATTATTCTGATTTTTGTTCTTAAATTCACAGTAATTACTTCAAATTCGAACATCCAAACACTCACTAGATACAGGAAAACGCAATTACGAACCCTAAAAATCTGAGATTTTCTCAGTCGGGATTGTGAATTATTCGTTCTCTGGATCATGTTGAGTAAACAGGAAACACTATGGTATTTTCTAAAAGAAAAGAAAAGGAAAAAAAACCCGACTCAAACTTTCAATTATAGATCTCAGTTTATGAAGATGAACAATGATAGCCGTTGAAAGTAATGATATAAAACGAGTCTATGATTCTAAGGAATAAAAAGCGAATCTATAACAGAACCGAAATGATCGATCTATAAACAAGAAGATGAACAATTCAACATTCATAAACGATTAGAGACACAATAAGACGGCGACATACCTGAATTCCTTTAGAAGAGAGACTTGTATGAAGCAGATATTTTTGATTCGCGATTCGAAGTTACGATAAGAGGAAGTAGGTGTGATAAAAAGAGGATTTTTGGGTATCGTCCCAAACCCAAAGAATTGACGACAGATGTGGGCAACGACAGCTGTTTTAAAGGATGAATTTCCGGCAAACTAATCATTAAGTTTAGAGCGGGTGTGGTGTGGGCCTGTGGGGTTCAGATTCGATTAGTAGGAATGCCGTAATTTAATAAAGAGTGACAAAGTCATTTAAAATGCATTAAATTTCCTTAGGATACAAGTATTTATAATATTGTTTTTTAGTAGTTTTACAATTGAAAAAACCTTTTTAAAAAATTTATTATGAACTTTTTAATGATTGTATGAGTTTTATATATTTTCAACCGAAAATAATCAAACAACAATCGAACAAAACTCTCATATAGATATAGAGATATAATGATTATTTTTTATTAAAAAACCTACACTTTTTAAACGTCCGGTCCTTGCAGGTAATTCTTTTCTATAAGTATTAAGTGTAAATATTGAGTTTTGATTTACGCAGGGCATAGATAACATCTACGCGCTGTGTAGAAGGGAAAAGTTGGTTGGCATTCTATGAACTACGTGGGGTGTAGATAGGAGTACGCAGGGCGTATTCAGCCAGAGCTCAAACCCTAAATTCGGAGTCTACTGTTCACACTGCGAATGGGTCCGAGCCCTCGGAGCGACTCGAAGTCCACTGTTCATTCGGAGGTTCGGAGCTTCATGTATCATTTGTATATTTTGTTTGTTACTATTCATTTTGATTTTATTCTTTCTGTTTTTAATTCTTTTTCAGAAAATCAAAAATACAAAAATATTTTCTTTCTTTCTGTTTTATTTATTTTTCAGAAAATTTAAAAATTAAAAACATTTTCTTTATTTTCGTTTTTATTTCCTTTCATAATAAAATTTAAAAGACCAAAAATATTAGACATTTGAGAAGGATTGAAGGTACGTACTCTTTATGATCTCAATTCTGAAGAATGGGACAGGTATAAAATTTTGAATCTTTGCACTAGTTAAGTGTCCCTAAAAGCATGTTGTTGCATGTTGTCCAAAGCCTCTGAGACTCTATGTTCGAAGCCTTAACGAATCGATAAAACAAATCGTTTCTTCCCAAATAGGCTATTCATTCGCATAAGTCATTGAGCTACCTTACTCTTCTCAAATGAGTTAAGAGTTGATTGTTTGGTCATTCGTAATAATAGAGGTACAATTCATCTTTGGCTTCACCTCAAACACTTCTCCATCATTTTCACTTTCATAAACGTAACCCTCGAGACTCTCAACAATTATCACTGAGGTTTATGGTTACACAACATCTGTGTTTATGATCTCGAATTCGTTATCACCACGAATTGAGTGAAACCCAAAATCCGAAACCTATTTTTGAATTGACGGTGAACAAATAATATGTTCTAGATTATTCACCATGGAATTGACGAGTAACAACCTTCGTGGTTTGTACCAAAAAATATCATTATTTTTATTTTTGCGAGATCTTAATGAGATGTTCTTGACCTAAGACATTTCTACCCATGAGATCCAGTTTTTATTTTTTACTTGAGATTTCCAAATTGTCCAGCCACTGAAATGATTCCAAAGCATACTTGTTTTTATGGCTACAATGGTCAGAAAAGTACTTCTTCCGAACGTTCAGACTTATGTTGAGTTTCAGAGTTTGGTTGAAGACAAAGTCACCCTTAAGCCTAAATAAGAAGCCTTTCACTGTTTCTCAACAAACAAATGATCGTAATTCAACGGGATTCCACATAAGCACTTCTGAGTCTCTCTTGACTCCGAAGGAAAAGATTGTTGCCCAGGATCCATCTGCTTTATGTCCATAGTGACATCACTAGAATCCCACATATTTATTTTGATTTATTTCTTTATATTTGGCACACTCTTGCACGAAAATCTTTGAGTTTTTCCAAAAGTCTTGTTTCAATTATTCCGAATGGTTACTTTCAGATTCGGAGAACAAGTATTGGCGAACAGTTGTGAACAAGCAGAATTGAAATGGCGAATTTTATGGGATAAGATTTCAAATTGGTCGCGTGAAACATTCAAACCGTTCTTGACATCACGCTGTCAATTACGCCGCCTGACACACGTTTAGCTGTCACGACTTTCAAGGCACCTTTTCAGGGACGTGGGAGCGCCAAGCACCGGATTTATCTCTCATGTCACACCGTATAAAAGGAAATTCGATGCTTGATTATCACCTACCACTTTCAAAGCACTCGAATTCTCTGGCAAGAAAAACTCTCTTCTCTCACGCACTGTTCATCTTCTCCGTCTGCAACAATGGCCGCCTCTTCTGAAACTCCCTCTGTGGCCGAGAAAATGGCTCAATCGACACTGCTTAACATCAAGGCCAACCAAAACCTAATCCTCGATCTTGACTCATCCAAATACTATGTGTCTCTTCAGCCGATGATCGAGTTTCTTCGTCACTCTCCTTTGGTACCGACGCTTAACATGGTTGAGAATGCTCCTTTGGTTCACCTCTCTAAAGCATTGTCCACTGCTAGTTATCAAGAGGGTGAGGCTGTCATTACCTTTGACATTGATACCCAGAAAACCCACATCTCCAAGTCAAGGTTCAGTCAATTGCTAGGGCTTCCTCAAAGTAGGGATCTTGTTGATCCAGATTCCATCTCCTCTTCTGCTATTCTTGAAATGTTTTACCAGATGGGTTATTCAGATACCCTAACGATCCTGTCCAAGTTCAAGAAGCCCCATCTTCCTCCAATGTGGAATGAGCTGTTCATCCTTATTTTCAAGAGTTTCTCAGAAAGGGTTACAGGTCCAGACAGTGTAAGCAAACTATTCTGCACTATTCTCTACGGCTTATACTACATAATTAATTTGGATTATGGTTCCGTTCTATGGGCACAATTGGTTCAGAGTACTATTTCCTCGACACGACACTCAGAGATTTCGTGTGCTCGTTTCTGGTTCATCATCGTTCAGAAGGCCATTACTCGCCTCAACATTCCGGTGGTCGAAGGTTCTATAATCGAAGCCATCCCAATTTTTCACACTTCGAACTTTTTCGTAACTGATCCTACAAAGTTCGCATTTATTGGATCACTTCCAGAAGCGATACTCAACTATGCTCCCGTAGACAACGTGATTATAAACGAGTATCGGTCAAGGCCTGCATTTGGACCTCGCCCTTTAACTCCTGAAATGCAAAAGGCTTTGGAGGAAGTGAACAAGCCGAAGAAGGGTGGGAAGCGAAAGACAAAAGCAGGTCCCTCCGAACCAACTACCACTCCTACGAAGCGAGTTAAGCGAGCGACTCGTAAACCAAGGTCTCCCTCACCTGTCACTCAGGAGGAATCACCATCACGAACCCTTTCGGAGGATTTCCAGGCTCGGAATGACAATGAAGACACGGCTGCATCTTCGCAACCCATGGTTTCGGAGCCAACTTAGACCAATCCGGAGGTAACCTTTACCATGCCAACCTTTGTTCCAATCACTGATGATTTCTTTCAGAGCTTCACTCATCCACTATTTCCTACTACTTCTACTTCTCCTATCATCATAGCTCCGTGTTCGAATGTATCTGTGGGAATTTCGCAACCCCAGATCTCTATTGCTCAAGCCACTCCTCTTTTGACTGAATCCACAACAACAACAACCACCAGTACACCTCCAGTTACTGTCAACGTATCTGATACGGGGGCAGGTGCTTCTGGTGCTACTGTTGGTCCTAGTTCACCGCCCATCTCTCCTTTAAGAACAACTGATTCTGATACAATTTTTGGGGATGATTGTGATGACTTTCAAGACTTCCACTACAGCCCTTTCATTGTTCAAGAAAAGAGTGATGAAGATTATGCTCCTATGACAAAAGGGCAGTTCAAGGCCTTAAATACCAAGTTGGATTCTCTGCTTGAGTCCACCAAAGCCTCGTCCATCAATGAGTATTCTCTTGCATCTTTTAAAGCCCCTATTTGAAACTACGAACAAGGAGCATACAACGAATCTTGCAAAATCTAACAAAGCTGTTGAGAGTTCGGAGAAAACGGTTCGTGAAACGACCGAAAAAGTCGCAAAACTACTTTCTGATGTTACAACTTTCTAATGGGTTTTATACAAAAGAACATCCTATGTGATCATGCAAACCCTAAAGCTTGGATCTAGGTTTCTCTATTGTACATGCAATTCATCAAAGACTTAAGAACCCTAGATCTAGCATGTATATTTCGAAAATAACATATGAAAACAGATCTAGATGATTACCTCTTCAACAATGGATTAAATTTTCTTGTCTTGAAGCTTAGAGTCACAAATATCACTCCTCTAATGGCTTACAAACACCACACATGCAAGAGGATGATATTGGAGAGAGGGGAGATGCATAATTTTCGGCTATGAACTCTTCTAGGGTTTCAAGTGGCCGAAAACTGATGCCCTAGGGGTTCTATATATACTTGTGCTGCTAGGGTTTCAGTCAAAACCCTAATGGACAACTTAGGGCTTAAGCAGTCCAAGGAAGCTTCTGGAATAGGGCCCTTATGGCCGAAATTAGGATGGACACATCCCTAATTTCGTCCATGCCTAGTCCATAAGGCGTCTCAGCCCAATATTCAACTATCACACATTTGACAGTTTAAGTCCCCTTTATTTAATTAATGTCTTTTAGCCACATAATTAACTTCTAATTAATTCTTGTCTAATATTAATTAAACTATATGATTTCTCCTTTAATATATTATTCATATAATATACTACTCCCTCCGTCCCATTTTAGTTTTCCAGTATACTATTTTGGTTTGTCCCAAAATTATTGTCACATACTAAAAAAAGACTAGTATAATTAAGCAAGTTTCCCATACTACCCTTGGTAATAAATACGCCTAATTACTACCGTGCATTAATTAATGGAATAAAAAAAGAAAAAGACATTTGCATCTCATAATTACGCATGCTACTCTTAGCTTACAAATGCACATAAACATTCTTTTCTTTTTTCTTTTTAAGAAAGCCAGCAACATGTTACACATCAAATGAAAATTTGATTTGTTTTCATGTTTACATCTTACTAACCCAAATATGGAACTACTTCATCTATGAGGCTTTGTTCATACTCAATTTGAATTGGCAAAAAACTTTTTCGTTC